CCCCCCGCTTAGATGACTGTACCCCAGATCGGTTTAGGAAGTCACTAGTCCCGTTATGTCCTGGAGCGCTCTCTTGAGCCCCACCAACGGCAGCTCAACGGTTAGCCTTTACTGGAAGGAAAGACGTTAGCGACATAGACAGCGGAGTCTCGACTGGCCATTTCGGACATGTTTGATGGCATCAGCCAGCCCCACCCAATCACAGGTGCTGCCACACCCGAGCCTCGAACCATCGACTTGTTGGTTAACAATCGAACGCTCTAAGAACTGCACCATAGGCTGTAGGCCTTGCGGGTTTCAATTGCGTACTCACACATGGCGGTTTGACGGTGTCGAGCGATGACGCCCAGCATGTGAAATAGTTTATAATTGAAGTATACCTTTGCCGAATTCTTCGTTTTTTGTCTATTCTCGCCCTCACAGTGACGATAACTGGACAATGTAAACAGGACGCCTGCGCGTGTCACTTACAGCCTCAACTGACTGTATATAGCGTTACAAAAAATACGGCTCCAATCTCGAAACACTGCGAAGGAACTGTTTAGCGGCGGACACTCCAATCAGCTATTCACTCCAACATTACCCCAATGACGACCGAATTATCTTGTTAGTTGATAGCCTTACAAGACGCAATTTGCGGAGATTCAGGCGTGTCGGGATTAGTATATATAGCTAGTCAACACGTGCCGCAGTCTACGTGGTCACCTCGCAGTCAGCCGTCGTGGACTGAGAATCTCCCTGTTACTGTGGCTTTTATGAAAATTTCGCTACAAGAGACCTGTGCTTGTTGTGGCGGCACGCTCAGTGTCGACTCGGACCGCGCCAGATGCCTGCGCCCCCTCAACATCTTGAGGGAGATGGGCGGGGAGGTTAGCTTTGGCGTAAGTCTACTCTCATTGTAGTCTTATTCACGTGCGAATCACTGGCTATGCCCTCACGGTCAACCTGTTGGTCAACAGTTCTTATGCCATGTACGCTTAAATGCCGTGCCATGTCAGTACGTACGCCCACGAATAAGAGCGCCAAAGGAGAAGTTATAACATTTGTATTAAAATACTATTACTACTTATTTCGTGACAGTAGAAATGCTTATGTAAATTAGTTGATTTTAAGTAATTTCTTCTTATTCCTTCTCTTTGTCTACGTTGCTGTCGGCTTCAGGTCGGGTTTTAACAACTTTTGTGCCGTCGCCCTTGCTCTATGGGACTTCGGTTACAAAGCAGTCGGTGTGCGGATTGACAGTGGTGATCTGGCCTACCTCTCCATGGCTGTGCGCAAAAAGTTCTCGCAAGTCGCAGAAAAGTACGTTCAACAAATTCTACTTCTCCGACTTCCTCACAAAACTGACTCGCGTATAACAGGCGTCTGTCTTATAATTTTTTTCGCCTTCTAATGTCAGCACAATGAGCAGTAGAGATGCGACTGGTCCTCTTTTGATCCACTTAATATCAAGGATATGCTGAATTTCCAGTATTTCCGCCCACCCTAGTTATATTTGTGGAGTCTTTACTTCAATATAATTTAGTATATTCGAGGGTACTTGCCTTTGAAAACAGTATTAAAATTGATACAATATTTAACATAAAACAAGTATATTTCTATAGGCGGGGGAGTATCGTAAGGTAATAGATTAATCACCTAAATTGAATGTTATCCGCTGTCGATAGCAATTGCCTTTTTCCTCTTTCTCCATTGCCATAGATTCAATTTGCCTTGGTTTCGAGATCTCAAAATTATCGTGAGCAATGACCTCGACGAAGATACCATTCTTTCTATATATCAACAGGTGAGAAAATATTGGGAGGTTTTTTTTACATTTAACTGAACCCAGCATTTGCAAATAGCATATGCAAAAGGATTCGTGCTAGTCCTAAATTATAAAACCGATACTTACTATTCAAGACCAACTGAGCAGCGAATATTACTAGAACCTTACCCATTAATCTGTCTTACTATTTCGCCCAAACTTATAACGAAAAATACAAGCAATCTTTGATAAATGGATTTGGATAGAGGATCCAGCTGTCTGACGCATATATGGTGACAATCTATAGTGAGACATTTGCCGTATTTCCCTGGAAACATGGAGAGGGTGATAAAGGCCATATTAAGAAGGAAGCATTGTGGTCGAACGCACGGTCTGCAGAGGGACTGATGTAGACCTTTAGTTTGCCATCTCTCAAGCCCCAAATCTTGGCTAATCGTGATAAATTCAAGTTCATCAGTTGGCTTAAAAGGTTGCCATATGGCGGGAGTACTCAGA